AAATACTGTAAAATAAATTTATTTATCGTATGAGAATATCTTTCACTTAATGTGAACCCCCTGGAGCTTTCACCAATAGGTTTTGGAGCAGACAGGACCAGTATGGAGCCATAAATTGACTCGAATATATATTTATAAGGTCCCAATTTACAGTTTTTTTTATCTTTCAATTTTTCATGCTATTTGAAACCAAGGCGGTTACTCTTAGGATTCACCTATCTGCAACGCTTTTTCAGACTTCCCAAAAAATCAGCTTCGAGGCACCTAAAAGGTCCTGTGTAGGTCGATGTCAGTAGCTCACCACAACAGCAAAATGATACTCGTTGGAGACCATCGTTGAATTGAGTGGGATTCTTTCACTCAGTACCCAACCCGGAGCTTATGAGGGTAGAAGCCGACTCAGGTCAAAAAACAGAGCAAAACTCTGAAATACCAAGGAAAATTCGTCTTTTTCTCCAGTATCGAGCCTGATCGAAAAACCCCTCTATTTCCGTTTGCCAATCCATCCACTCAAATACTACTCCTTAATTTACTAACTTGATGACCACCCCTAAGGGGTATCGCGCTTTGACCCGTTGATCGACCAACTGTTCAGGTCAATCCTGTCCTCATTCAACTGCCAACAACAACAACTTTTTTTTCTTTTTTCATTGCTAACCTTGTTAGTTCATCGTTTTTGTTATTATTATACATTTAGTGAGTTGGGAAAGATCACTTCAAGAACGGTATTTGTTTGCGACATTGAAATCGCTATGACAACCGCTGAAACGCGATGAGGACTCCTTCTGGTGGCATTGCCATTGCTTTCAGTACTTTACCTACTACTACTAAAACCCGACCGGCTCCGATTTCTCCGATTGCACCATCGACTATTTTTGGTGATCTGATCTGATACGCAGTTAATAGAATGGACGCTTAAGTTCTAGGTCGGGTAAACTATGTACTGAACCAATTGGTCATACATTCAATGAAATTTTCCCAACCCCACGCCTCATGCATGGCTTATCCACGACTACCCTAGGGAATTTGAGCGGTTTGCCTTTTTTCACTT